GGAAAATGGAGAGAAATCCTGCCCGAAGTCCTTTGGGCATACCGAACAACGTCAAAATCCAATAAGGGGGCGACCCCATTCTCCTTAGTATATGGTTCCAAAACATTGATACCAGTCGAAGTCGGTGAACCTAGTCCCAGATTTCGATTCATGATGGAAGAATCGAATAACGAGGCTATGAACACCAGCCTTGAATTATCGGACGAAGGACGAGAAGCTGCCCTCATCCGATTGGCCACACGGAAGCAACCAATCATAAGGTATTATAATCGAAGAACTAAGCTTCGCCATTTCAAGCCCGGGGACTTGGTGTTAAGAAAAGTCACCATCAATACTCGGAATCCAAACGAAGGAAAATTAGGACCGAATTGGGAAGGACCATATCAGGTGCTCGAGAACGTTGGAAAAGGATCATACAGGCTCAGCATCATTAACGAAAAACAGCTATCAAGCAGTTGGAATGTATCACATCTAAAACGGTACTACTGTTAAGGTACGACCTTTCCATATTCATTTAACTGTCCCATGCAGAAGCCCGAACAAAAGCTGAAGTAGATCTTTCGCTTAAAAGCACGTGTTGCACTCTTTTTCCCTTAGATCGGTTTTTTTCCAAATGAGTTTTTTGGAAAGTTTTTTAATGAGGCAACCATCGATCGTGCTACACTTTTAACAGTATCCGAGGCCTCTTTCCATTCGACCTCGAATACCGGGGGGGGCATCAGGCCCTCAAATACATCAAGTTCAGATGCAAGAAAGTCATCTCATAACAACAGAGTTCCAACAGGAAAATTGTAAGAGCCAAATGGTCAAAACGAACCATGCTCATATAGATAGGCCCGAACATAAGCGCAAAACATGAACACATGTACAATGACTTGAGATTTATTGTGCAACCAGAATTAAGATTCACCCGACTATTAAGCCTACGGGCTACCTTTATTCCGAGTTCGAGCAAGCACTCACTCGACCATTGCGCCTACGGTCCACNTTCGGTAAGGTCGAAACCTCGAGCGTGTATCTCCTCGAGGGTCTCCCTCCGAGACCTACACTTAACAAGTTCGGCAACCCAATGAGATCAAGCATCGGCGGTATTCGCCGCTTCCCGGTGCTCCATCTGAGCAGCCTCAGCATCAGCCCGATATACAGCAATGGACTTATCCGCCAAGATTTTCGACAACTCAACCTCCGCCTTAGCCTCAGCAAGTCGTGTTTCAATCTCATCGATCTTCTTAGCTTGAACCGACCCCTTTTGCTTGACACTTCAAAGCTGAACATCGGCCGATAATAATTTTGTCAAGATGGTTTCTTTTTCCGCAGCCAGGCGGTCGATGGTCTCCTTCCACCCATTGCATTCAGCTCGGATTTGATCGACTTCTTCTCGAAGTAATCCAATCTTTTCGATCTTTTGCTGCAACTGAGACAACGAAGGGTTAACTTCCACAGTTGAGTCAGACCCATACTCTAACAGAACGAGGCTCACCTGCTTATCAAGCTCGATCTTTTCTTCATGGACTTTAGCCAAATCCGCTTCGAGATCCTTTATAGCCTCATCCTTTTGGCTGCAAAGAAGCCGCAGGGCATCTCTCTCACCTGAGATCTTCCGGAGCTAGACCTCACATTGGCTAAGACCGACTTGAAACCTACTAATGGCCTGCATAGTTAGAAACACAAGTCAAGTATGGAAAAGAACAAAAACAAAACAAATGTGAAAGAATCATTACCCGAGTAATGAAACGCTGAGCCTCCTCTAATAAAAGAGAAGCGTCACCGATATCGGAACTATCGTCGACTCCAGTAAAGGAATCCCTAAAAGGGTCCCCTGCACCAAAGCCTGCGCCGATATCGGGAGTCTTCAATTCTCGAGCTTCCTTTAACGCCTCCTCAGAAAAAGATGGAAGAGAAAGCGAATGACCCATTGTCATAACCCCGAGCAAATCACTCGGAGTACTCCGATCGAGAGTCAGTTCTTTGGAACCAATGCCGACAGGCACAACCGCCATTGGTTCGGGAGCTCTAGCAACCTCGATGGCCTCCATAGATCGGACTACCAAAGCCGAGGAGCTATCTTCTTCTTCTTCTTTTTCTCTCAGTCGTTGGACCGAGTCAGTCGGAAGGGCAATTGCTTTTCTCCTCACCCTTCGAGTTTTGGGCTCGGGGTCCTCTGACCGAGAGGAAACTCTTCGCTTCTTATCTTTCCCCGGTTGAGGGACCAGGGACTTGTTTCCTTCTTCACCGCTCAAAGGCCCCAAAGCGGCATCCCTGGTTACGCCTGCACAAAAGAAAACCGGTAACAAATGGAACACAAAAGATATTTTAAAGAAAACAAGAAACAAACCTCACCATGGTTCTTGGCCTCCCATCTACCTTTAGCCAAATCGCGCCAAACACGTTCTGCATAAGAGGAAGTCGAGGCTAACTTTCAAACCCAGTCCTCGAGGTCAGGCACCACTTGTGGCATCCAAGGGGAAGCTAAAAATCGGGGAAAGACATCAGAAAAAATTGGATAAGGACACTAAAAGTGAACAAGAATCACTTACGGTCAAAATTCCATTCTTCGGGGAACGACATCTTCTCTTCCGGAATTAGATCACGGGTTCTCACTCGAATATAACGACCCATCCAACCCCGATCCTTGTCTTCATCAATGCTCGACATCAAAGCCTTCGATGCCCGACGACGAAGTCTGATTAGTCCTCAAAAAATCTGAGGCCAATACAGTCGTATGAGGTGGTTCAGAGAAAAATCCAACCCCCCAGCTTTGATAGAGAAGAAGCGCAGTAAGATCACTATACGCCATAAAGAGGGATGAATTTGACCGAGGGTGACCTGATATCTTTTGCAGAAATCAATAATCAGCGGGTCGACGGGTACCAATGTGAAGGGGTAAGTATAAACACGTAAAAATCCCTCTACATAAGTGGTGACGCTCTCATCGGAGGATGGAATTTGCAACACAAACTCGGAACCCAGTTGCAGTCTTTTCTGGCGGCCTCGAGGTGATCCTCCATTATAGAGCGCGTATACATCGATACGTGCTCACATCGACCCGAAACGGATGAAGGATTCTTCACCTTAAAATCGGTCTTCAAAGTGCACGGGCTAGGAACATAGTCGTGAACGGACGGCTCCACCGGCGCCTTATCGTCGAACGACCGTGAAGAAGAAGCTTTCTTTTTCTGGGGTATGGTTTTGGAAGTTTTCGCCACTGATATGAGAGCAAAGAATGCAGAGGAAGGTGAAAAAATGGACAGCACCAAAACTCTGGTGTGGGCGGCTCTGAAGCAACGAAATAGAGAGGATAAATAAGAGAATTTAGAAGAAGAGAAAGCGTAAAAATGGTAAAAGTTGTGTGGAAAGGCTATTTATAGACTAAGGCATGACGGTTCAATATCAGTGGTGGCCGACCGCCGTCTGACACACAATTAAATGCCTCAGTAAAATCGAGCCAATGGGACAGCTATCACATACGTCATGATCGGGATCGATAGAAAGGTCAGCATAAATTTGATCGAGCCATAGGGAAATCATATCATTTCTCACCACATCCTTTTCCGAGAAACGAGGGGACTATTTGTATATGATCGAAACCGACTCAAAGTCATAAAGACTGGTCGAGGCGATGATGTTTCGATCGAAGGGTATCCACATGACGAGCTCGATCGAATTTCGAAGTAGGGGCGTCGAGCTTCTAGCTATAAGACCAACCGACGACAAAACTCGGTATCATTATCGAGCCCATATCCAAATCGAACTACGAGGTAACATCGACCCCGAATATCGATGCCCCAAGGCAGAATCGAGCTCAAAACAAGACCGGGAGTTCGATCTAATATCGAGCTCGAGCCAGTGTCAAGTTTGCAAACAAGAGCCGTTACAACAGCACCAAGGGAAAGAATCTTGGCGAAAATCGAGGAAGAGACAAACCATCATGGGTCCTCCACTACATGTATTATTTTATTATGTTGTTATAGATAAAGCAATGACCCTCTATTATAAAAAGGGGACACCCTTGTAAGCTAAAGGGGGAGAGCAATAAACATATCATTTTCTCACATACATTGAGATTTTCTTTGTGCTTGATTTGTCTCAACTTATTTGGTTTTTCTGTTCATCATTCCCATTTTCATAGCAAAAATATCTGTATTGTTATTTTTGTATCAAAGAAATTTGCGTATCCTTAGAACCATATCTAAATTTAACGTTATCCGATTTTTCGGGTAAACAATATACTAACATTCGTTTTGTCCAATATCTTGTACTTCAGCGGGTGAAAACAGGTAAAAGAAGTCCATATAATTATCTTTGAGTACAAAATTGTACCCCGTGTCTGAAGAAAGTATAATCAATTTCTCATTTTTACCACTTTAATGGAGTTGTGCTACAGAATACAATGACGTTAACTATTTTAAAGGGTAAATAGATTTGTGGTAAAATTTATTTTTGTCTCTCCTTATACCAAGTAAGAATGCACGTCAATTAAGAAAGTATTATTTTAATAAAAGCTAGAAGTGATATAAGTGATATTTCATTTCGCTGCCCAATCTGGTAAGTATTTTTATTGCTCTCATAGTACTTGTTCTCTCATTCAAATTTATGTTAAAGAACATAGAAATCAATTCCCTCCTCCTCCCCACCTCCGCAATATGTAATTTATAGTTGCGCATTTAGAATGTTATACCAGCATTGTCCGTCTATTATCATAACCCAACTTATTAATTAATGGGATTGTGTTGTAGACAAGAGAAATTTTAAGACTTTATATTTTATCTTGAATTGGCGTTTACTTTGCACTATTTTCAAGCAATATCGGTATAATATATATGCATTATCTTTTTGGTGAAGTGATGTCACTACACCCCTTAATTATAGAAGGATGTCTGCGCCACTAGCTAGTCATGTGTAATAGAAGGAAATAATGTTTAAAATGACGAAATCGCTTATATTGACATGCATGATTCAAGTTGTTGAAGAACAAATTTGGTGGATATTTTGAATTTCAGGACTGGAGAAAGACCAACAAAAGAAGAAGGTGAAGTTCTCCAACGAAGTTATGAAGTTGGGCGCTTTAAGAAAAAGTGAAGATGTTGATAATAATCCAAAGAAGAGGTTTCGTCAAGAAATATCAGATAGCGAGAGCATGGAATCCATGCCCTTGAATCGGCAAGCTCTTTACAAAGGGATCCTCCAATATAAAGCCCTCAAAGGCTACGCCTAAATTCAATTTCCCCTTTGGAGTAGTTCTCTCTCTCCTCTCCTTGGTGGCGGCGACTTTCTACTTTATTTTATGTTATTTTATTCAAAATGTGTGTTTTATTGTTTCGACAAAAGTTGGAATTTATTTTTAATATGTTGACTAAATAAAGATGACCTAGTCAATAGGAAATCCATTTTTCACACTTTGACCTCTGACTAGTTCTCCCTCTCCATCCATTAGTATTATACTACGGAATTTATCGCGATTCGCGTGGAAACACCAGTAAATTTAGGAATGATTTTTTTTATAAATTTAGTCGAGATAGAACAACTATAATAAGAAAGTTAAATGTATTTCTTATAAAATCAAATTCTAAATATTTGTAATAGAAATAAAGCTTAAATGAACTACATTTTTATCATCAAATATTCTTTAAAATGAAAACAAAATTAAGAAAAAGTTTCTATATCCTGTGTGTTTGGGTGGGTGGGGGGAGGGGGGTATATACGATTCTCTTAGTCTAATATATTTCAAATACATGTAACTAAGACATGACATCTTTTGCTCTTATTAGATAGTAAAACTTTTTCGAAAATGAAAAAGTAATGAAATAAAAAATAGTGGAAAAAAAAAAGAAATAAAATTTTCCTTTCATTGTTCTTCTTTTTCTTTATCTTTTTATTTCTTAATCTCCCTCTTAAATCTTCATCATTTAACTAAACCTCTATACCAGCTTCCTCTCTATCCTCTGTTATTATTTATTGCCTTTTGCTTCTCCCCTTTTCCTACTGCTAGTCTGCTATTTCTTTTCGTCTTCTTATTCTTTTTTACTCTCTTTTCCTTACCGTTACTCCAAAAATATAAAAGGCTTTAATCCCTCTTTTATGCTTACAGATCTCTATGTTCTTCTAATTCTTCACAAAATATACAATAAATTTCTACTTCTATTTCAACATTTATGTTGCTCGTCTTATAAATAATGAGAAGTAATTCTCTAAAAGAGAGAAATTCATGTTCCAAAGAAACAATTAGTCTTAAAACAGAGAGAAAAAAACTTATTTTTTCGCATTAATTTTTTCTTTTTCGGCAAGAACATTTCAGATAATTTTTCCCAGTTTACATTATTAGTTCAAAAGAAAACGAACAATAATCTTATTGGGAGCTTTCCGAGGAGCAATAAATTCACGTTGCTTTCCTGTGAGCAATTCCATTTGACAACTAAAGAATTACTATTTTTTTTCCCAAATTTTGTTTCTACTTGGCATGTCAGGTAAATTATTGAGAAATTATAAGAGTTGTACGGCCTTTGTGGGCATGACAGATCAAAGAGACAAAGAGTGAAAGTGTAGAACAAAGAAAAGCAGATGAATACCAGTCAAACAAAGAAAGTGAATCACAATACTCAAGTAAAGAGATACAACCAATTCTTAGAACGGAAGGAAATAGTTATTGACTCTTATACTATGATTTTTCGTTCTCCTCATCTACTACAAATCCGTGTTTTAAAAGGCATTTTTGAGATTCGCCTGGGCTCATGTATGGGGCTTAGTTCTGTGAGGCTTACGCCCCAAGCGCCCGACCGCGCGCCCTAAACACGCCTAACGCCCAACGCTCGAGGCTCGTTTAACAGTTCTAACACAAATCACATGTCGAATTTCCTAATTAATATCGTTGACCTTCAAAATTCTTTGACAAATTAATGATAAAAGTTCTATTCATCGACAGAAATATGAAAATTGAGCATAACTCTATTAATGAGACATAGTATTGCGAATTTATATCTTCACTTGTTATTGGTCGTGTCTTATTTCATTTGTCCCTCCTCGTTATACACTTTTATTAATTTGATATCGTAAACTAATTTTTATTTATTGATGAAGGAGTAATATTTTAATTATCGTACTAATAAGCTTTTATTAATTATTTACTTTTAGGAAGGTAAAATGTGGAGTTTGATCATTTTCTTTAAAGAAATTGTAAGTTTTTTAATTATTTGAAAGTCAAAGACGTTATACGTGATTTGTATGCATTAGTTATACTTAAGAATCATGTTAGATATTCTTTTTCTATGAGTTCCTTTAATTTTCTTTTAATTTTTTACTTTTAATTTATCTTATATATTTTTTTGTTTTATTATGTTATTTTATTAATTTATAAATTAAAATGTTTAAAGATCCATGGGGCTTACCCCCCTCCCCCTCCCCCTCAAGGGTACGTCAAGTTGAAAATTTTACGATGGGATAAAGTTTCAAGTGAATTCGCACAAGATCCTACTTCAAACGCATGCTGCTACCAAAATATAACTACAGGCAACTCTATGTCTCATTTGTCGAATCAATGATGTCATCATAATGATTAACCATGTCAGCACTATTGGTAGTGACCTCATGCCTCTTAGGATATAACCTCTTGAAACGCCCTGCGCAGCACATTGATGGTTTCTTGAATAATTCCAGCCCAATCTCGAACCTCGTTGTTCCTATTTATAGTAACCTATGGGGGTTGAAGGTTCAAACATGTCAAAGAAGAAGCATCATCCTGTGATAAAAAATATTGGATAGGAAATTTTATGGTCATAGTCATGATAGCACATCTTAGAGTTATTGTTAGAGGTCACCAAAGGTTTAGTTTGGGTGTTCGGCATAGAGATTTAGAGTTGAAGAAAGTGAATGGGTTATTCTCAAAATTTTCTCTATGAATATACTGGGTGAATTGTTAAGGAAGGTAAAGTATGTATAGCCACATTAGGCCTCATGGAATATTGAAGGAAATAAGCCGAACTATGAGTATGATATTTTTCCATCGTTTTCTTCCATGCACCCGATGCATCATGTATCTAGGTTCCAAAAGGTTGGTTGAAATCCTTTGCCTATCATTCTGGTGGAAACTATTGAAGGTGAAGTTAATGGATAATTGGCTTATAAGAGGTACCTAGTTGTCATCCCTGTTAGATAAGTCCATAAATTGAGATCTGCCTCCGTCAAAGTAAAGGAAGTATTCTCACTTGCCTGTATAACCAAATGGTTGTGATTCAAAAGGGTACCTGTTATGTGTTATGATTTAAATATGTGCAACTCATGTATAGATACCACTTCTATTAATATAATGCCCTTAATGTTGAGATCAGTATTGTTGATATATACCGTGATACTTTGGTGAGTTGTGGATATGTTGTTAGGAGTTGTTTTGGTGGTTCTTTGGGAGGTGGTTAGGCCCAATTGCAAATGAGACTCAGCCAAAATTTCTGAAAAATTTGGGAGCTTAAGATGCGTGCAAGAAGAAACGAGTTATGTTAAGTGTTTGGGGACAGACTCAACTCCGCATTCGATGACGAATGATCCTAGGTTGGGGAGAATGTAAGGCCCCGTAAAAAATATTTCTAATGATTTAAAATTTTAAAGTGCGCCAATGATATTTGGGAATAACTTATTTGAATATTAAAGGAGCCTATGAAAGAGAGACAAATCATTTTGAATTTATAATATATGTTTAAGGTGTGTTGGAACATACTAAGGCGTTTTGTGAATGGCAAGAACTTATGTGGAACAAGTTGTATACATTAAGTGAAAAGGATGTTTCAATTGGCACAAGATCTGACTTCAAATGAATTGAAATCTCTCAATATAACGACTTATGTGGTGATCTACATATCACATTAAAGCCCTTTGAGTCTAGTTTCTAACTCATTAAACCGTTCGTCATTTGGATATTTCTACAGAAAGATATGTCCATTTTACCGGACCTATGCCATATGCGCAACCGCGCATATTAGAGGGTATTCTACCTCAGGTGCGCGACCAGATACATGACCAGGTGCGCGACCGCGCATGTAGGAGCCCTAAATATACCCCTAAGGCCGAGTAGAGAGAGGTGTTAAGTCATTTCTTGAGCTAAAACCTGATATTTTAGAGAGAAGTGAGAGTGCTCTTGAAAGAGGAAGTAGATGAAGTGTTTTGTTCATCAAGATCTTGTTCAAGCCATGAAATCCAACAAGGAAATCTCACAAGATCTTCACTCAAGAGGTAAAATTCAAACCCCTAGTCTTCAATTTCGAATTTGGGGTAAAAGATGGGTGATTGGGAGTATGATTCTTGGGTGTAAGAGTATTAATTATACATGCTTGTACCAATAAGGTTTATGGGAAGATTGTTGAGCTAAAATATATAAAAATTGGGTTGAGGAGTAAAGGAAATCTTGTAGAAGAACCTTGTAGCCAAATTTGCATACCTAGTGTTTGATCAAATGAGCTGAAACCATGAATATCTTCCTAATTTGTGTTCAATTTTGTTATGTCTTAAAATAGATTGGGATTGCTAGAATTTACAGAACGTTGTAGTAATTTAAGGAAAGCTCAAAGTGAGGTATGTTGGCTAAACTACTCTCTTAGAATTGAATTCCATGATGTTCCCGTAAGTTTTAAGTATGGTTTTCTCAAGTTCCTTATTCTATGTTCCGAGATGTTCCCAATAAATTTGTTTGTCCCAAATAAGCAAAATGTGTTCCGAATGTTCCTATCACATTGTGTCATCCTTCGGGAATGTGTTCAAGAATGATATGTGCATTAAAATGTTATGGCTTTGAGTCGTGTTTCAAATGAAAGTTATGATACCAACTTGTGTGAGAAAAACTCGATATGCTTAAGACTCTTAATTACTCATATGTGTACCTGAAGTCTTGATTGGAAATGTCTTGTTGTTAATAATCTATAAAGATGCTTGAAAGTGAAAGAAGTGAGTTGAAGATATAAAGTTATACTTGTGGCCAATGGTGCCAATGAAATGAAATGATGTGAGAAAGGTTATGAAATGAACCTTGATTCAACTATTCCGAATTGACTTCGAAGATAGATTTGCCTAAAAGCTTATGTACTCAAGTCATGCCCAAATGTGGCTGTTTTAACTAATGCTATTTATGAGTATTTTCAATATGTTTTGCATTCTTACATATTCGTGAGTGAAAATTGTGTATTGCTCTTTTTGGAAAAAAGTAATTCAAGAATAAATAGTGTGTTACTTATTTATGATTTTAACTTGTGCTTCGATTGTCAATCATTTTACTCTATTTCTTGGAAAGAAATCTCTTGTGCTTAAATTCTTCATTTTCAATGAACATAAAGTTGTGATTTTCGGAATATTATATATATTGATATTTATGATGACGATC